TTTTTTTTTTTTTTAGTTGATTCAAATTTGCTTTAAATATATGTAAATGATATGTGTATATATATATATATATATATAACATTTTCTCTATAAATTGAAAAGAATTATTAAAAAATAAATTTAAAATATTTTGTATTTTAATTTGGAATTAAAATTTGAGTTTAAAAAGTTGTTATTGCTGTGATAATGTGTATTTATTTATGTTTCCATTTTCTTTCATGAATCACACTGGGTCTGAGGGCGATTACAAAAATTAAATTCCAACTGTCAACTGGTTGTCATTATGAAGAAGTTGATTTTTTAAAATATTTGAATAATTAAAATGATTAATTGTTTTTATTATATTTATAATAATGAATGTTTTTCATTGCAGTTTAAAACATTATATTTTAATGCATTAAAAATTTAATTATCTTTTTTTATTATTAAATAGACAAATACAAAGATGAACCAATATTTATCCAGTTATAATTCTGTACTATCCACTACGTCTCATTCTATACATAAATAAGTATACATTTAGCATCCCAAATTCATCTCTTATAGAAATTACGCTTCTGATGTGACTCTGGACTGCTTCCTAATAGACTGCTTTCAAATGGACTGCTTCCTATCAGCAAATTTGGTATTGAGAATATATTTCAAATAGTTCTATGTTTTAAAGAAAGTGTGGTTCAATAATGATATATTTTTTTGAAATAACGCAGTTTGACAAGTAATTTTTTTTTTTCGGAAATGAAATCATCTCAATTTAGTATGGTGTACAAAATATTCGTTTTTAAATGGGTAGGGACATCACAATTTTTTTATATAGTTCATGGGCATGAAATAAAAAGTGTGCAGTGAGTGTAGCAAAAATTGGGATTCTTAAATGTGTGTTAATTGATTTCATGTTTTGTCAAGTAACTTTAGTAGATGGGAAGTTCGAGCATTGCTGTTGCCAATGTTTGGCGGGCTATATCAAGTCTTATATATATTATGCTTCTGGTGTGACTCATATATATATCTTATACCTGTTTTGCTTGTGGTGTGACTGCTTCCATTTCTGGATAGTGCGCTAAATATTATTCCCAATAACTACCATAAATTATTATTTTTTTAAAAATAACCTAACTGTGTTTGGTGTGTAATATTTTCTTTTCGGAAAAGGAAATCATCACAATTGAAATATGGTGTTATAAATATTAGGTTTTAAAGAGGTTGGGACATCAGAATATTAATATAGTTCATGGGCGTGAAATAAAAAGTGTGCAGCAATGTATCATGGTGGAAGTGGTGTAGCCAGAGTTGGGATTCTTAAATGTGCTTTAATTGAGTTCATGTTTTGTCAAGATACTTTAGTAGATGGGAAGTTTACGCATTGCTGTCGCCAACATTTGGCAAGCCATAACTAGTATGTAATATTTATCTGCTTGCAATTTATTATTATAATTAATTGTTTGAGGGGATAGCAAAGCCATCACATGGCTTATTACGGTCCCCTTGCTGCTTTCAATTTTATGCCCTCTGCATGTAAAGTTGAGTCTATTTTTTCCAAATTACAACTTTGGGCACGTTAAATATCTGAGCCCCACTTCTGCTACTCGGTTTGCAAGGACCATGTGACGGCTATTGGTGATAGTAGATGATGTAGTAATGTTGTGTTTTTCCAATTAAAAGAACAACCTTAATTTCTGTTACATTTAGACAAAGTAAACACAATTTGCCTAAAACTTTTGTTTATTTGTGTTAATTTGATTTCTTAGATGTTTACTGATGTACATGGGGTTTGGAAAGTCTGTAAATAATATATGAAAAGTCATTCCAGAGTTATTCTCTGCTCTAACAATTATGGTTGGAACCTAAATATGTCCTATAAAGATTGTTTTGACAACCAGTATGTTAACATGCTTTGCAAGGTGATTTGTCTAGAGCTTCGCAGAATTAGTCATATCAGACCTTTCTTAACGTTCGACGCATCAAAGAGGCTGATGTCTGGATTCGTGCTATCACGCATGGACTACTGCAGTGCTCTCATGGTTGGTCTTCCAGCTACGCTCCTGGATAAAATTCAAATAGCACAGAATAATGCGGCTCACATTGTTCTTCTAAAACGAAAATTCGACCATGCTAAAACACTTCTGAGAGAGCTGCACTGGCTGCCGGTCTGCGCTCGCATAGAGTACAAAATTGCAACTTTGTGCTACCCCTGCTTACATGACCTGGTGCCGTCTTATCTCATGACGCCTTATGTACCCAAACAACAGCTCCACTCATCCGATAGTGGCAAAATATTGATACCGCGTGTTCGCCTTGAGACTTATGGAAAGCGCACTTTCGCATTTGCTGGCCCAACAATTTGGAACACCCTTCCTGTCGCTCTCAGAAACAGGCAGACACTGGAGTCCTTTAAAACCGGTTTAAAAACACATCTATTTCGCAAACACCTTCTGGGGTGATGTTGTCTACTATCTTTTTCCATTTAATGTATATTGGCTTGTGTTGTTTATGGTTGAAATGGGATGAAAGACTTTGACTTGGTATGCTCGTATGTAGTTTTTATATTGTTGCGTTTGTTTTAAAATGTGGTAAATTTTATATTATTTTTATTTCTATTTTTTTTAATATGGTTGACTTTGTACTGCGCTTCGAGCTTTTGGGGATGAAGCATGTTTTTCAAATAAACTTTATTATTATTATTTATTATTATGTTGGATATTTTTTAAAGTTCACTCCCTGCAGTACTTGACTGCCCTTCTGATATATAAATAAGTAAACATAAAAAGGGATGTAGCATGATCCCGTTGTCAGATGGCATGTAGTGACATCTGATTATAATAACAAATGGCATTGCTTTAATGCTTACCAAACACAATTTACTTTCTTTAGTCATGTGTGTCTGCTCTGTTAGCTTCCCATGGTTTTCAAATCCATTATAGATAAATTAATCCAACTATTCCGTAAAAATTTTGTCTTTTTATTGCAATTTTCTTATTATAAAAAACTTATTTGATTTCAATAAAAAAATGTAAAAATATATTTTTTTAAAATGAGCGTTGTATTCAAGCCAGCTGTCTATATTTGTCTAATGGATGCAAGTGTTCTGAAAAATAATTTCTATATTAGCCCATAATTTTTTTAATGGATTTATTGCGGAATATAATAATTACCACATTTCACCCAGGTTATAGATATATTAATTTAAAAACAGAACTATAAAATTATCATAAAGGAATAAAGAACTTAACTGTCTAGAGCTAATGAAAGTAATTGAGCATAGAATATGCTTTATTTTGAGCACAAAATCTGTGATCGGCCCTTATAAATAAAAGACATTCAACAATAAGATGAAAATATTTTTTAACAACTTTGTCCTTATTAAAGAAAGAACATACATATTTTGACCTTAATCAAATAAAAATATTAGCATAGTTTTATATATGTTAATAATCCATATGATATAAATATATAGGTTATAAAATTATGTGGAGATTATTTAGCTGTTACAGGTAATTTAAACTTCTTTAAATTTTTAAATAGACTAAAACTAATATTCACAATAAAACATTTTTTGACATAGGCAGTCATTTAAGGACATAAGACAGTTTTTAGTAATTACCAAATTATATGGCTCTATAAAAAATATAATTTTCTTGTTTTAAAGCAAAGAAAAAAAATAATAGAAGCTGTCAATCTTCTATTGGATTTGGATGGATCATTTCATTTTTCTCAAGGCTGTTCAAGCAATTTATCAATTTCAGAAATTGCATCATCACAATTTGCAATATCAACATCAAATTTTGGTTTTTTGGTTTCACCATTGTCTGAAATTACAAACAAATTAAGTAGAAATTATACTAATTATACTAAATTATACCAAATTATAATTACTTTTAATTATAAGCTTTGCAATAAATAAAATATTCTTTGTGTTTGCATGAGTAAATTTCAAATATTTATTCAGGTAATTAATACTAACAACAATTTATAGTACTATAGGATTATTATTGTACAAAACAAAAAAACTATTTAAAATAGTTTATTACTTTCAATCGCGTGATCTCTTTTGTAAGATGTAGTCTTGCTCCCATTATTACTTGCTCCAGGCATGCCTTTGTGTTCTCCTCTTCCGATCCTGTCTGAACTAATATCATCAACTGTTTCTGCCATGTCTTCATCATTTGAACTGGTTGCTGTGTCTCCTGACATGTAGCTTCATAATGCAAAGAAGAATTATCTTTTGAATTTACCTTCAGTCATATTTTTTTTTTTAGACTTTATATAAAAAAAGACACCTAAATTGGATGAAAGTGACATTAGACTCAAAAAGATATGCCATATACCGGTAATAAAACTAAGTTTTTTGGGCTGTTATTTACCACATTTTTTAAGTATGCTTGACAGCTTATTAAGTTAAAATTAATTTTTCAATATATACATTTTTTTAAAAATAATGTGCATCTTGAGTTATTAAAATGTGAGAATAACAAGTTGTCATATTTTATTTTAGAAATGATTTAAAGAGATATTAATTCTGCACTGCTTTCAATTTCTAACAGAACATCTAATTTGACAAGTTTTGATATTGTCAATTTCAGTGAGAAAATATGAAACTTTTAAAGAGAATGTTTGAACAATTTTGTGATAAAAATGCGAAGACCAATTGGTATTCATTATGAGACACTTTTTAACCTACCTTTGTGTGTCCTCATCAGTAATGTCTTGTACAAAGTAAGGAACATTTTTCCATTGTTTATAGGTCTGAGGTTTGGCAGAGCCATTTATGATGAATTCAAAATTCTTGACTCCAAGAGCAAAAAATGGATTATTGTAGCGTCTGACCATGCTACCTAGGAATCCCTTGCAACGTTTTCCTGTCTGGGGCTCACCCTTACATCGGACGTCTCCAACATATTCAATTTCATTGTGCTCCTGTGCGCCTTTGGTGTAGGGTTCACAAACTGTTTGCTGTAGCAGTGTACTTGAATAGATTTGAAGACATATCACAAAACTAGAGTCTTACTTTGTAGCTTTAATTCATAATAACTTTTTTTTTAAAAAGTAGTAATGTAAATCTCAATAATGTTTGTCCTGTTGCACAAATTCGAGATGCCTCTTCCATAGAATTAATGTACACATTATGACACCACAGTACATGGATGCAATCTTAGACATGTACATGGACACATTCTTAAACAAATTTAAAATACAAGGACACAATCTTTCACATATTTACAGTACATGGACAAAATATTAGACATATTAATAGTACATGAGCACAATCTTAGACATATTTAAAGTACATGGTTACAATCTTAGACATATTTACAGTTCATGGACACAAGCTTAGACATATTAAGAGTACTTAATGAAATCTCACAGGCCTGATTTCATACAAAAGACTGACATATAAAAACACATAAAGATTATGATAACTGCAAATGTTAATTACATTTAACCATCACTCACAAAAATAGAACAAATTTAAAGTACCTGTCAAGGGCTACTCGGCAAGTTCCATTAATCAATCTAATTTTTGAGCTTTCAATTTTAACTTTCCTACACAGATGACACACCTGAATGTAAATAAAAAAATCTTTTAGATTTTTAAAAATATTACATTAAGTGGATGAATAATAAACAAATTTCGTCGCCCAGCTATGTGACCAGATTGCTTAACTTTGCAGATTTGAACAAGAAATAACTATTATCTTACAAATAAAGGGTTACTGAGCTTTTCAGTGTCCTTAATTCCAGAGACCACAATGTAAAAGTTTTGATATTTCATTTACTCCGTGTGTGCCAACTAGTGCCTGAGACAATATATAGATAAGACCTTTTTTGTCTATCAGCTTGTTCTGAAGGAGCTGTCTGCAGGGTCAGATATATATGGAAGCTGTCTGCAGGGTAAAGTTTCTAAAGGAGCTGTCTGTAGAGCCAGGTTTCTATGGGAGTTATCTCTAGAGCCAGGTTTCTTTGAGAGCTGTCTGCAGGGTCAGGTTTAAGTGGGAGCTGTCTGCAGGGTCAGGTTTATGTGGGAGCTGTTGGCAAATTGTGGTTTATATAGGAGATGTATATATGAAAAGCTGTCTGCAGAGTAAGGTTTAAATGAGAGCTGTCTGCAGATTCATGTTGAAATGGAAGATGTCAGCAAGGTCAGGTTTCTATTCCACAGATCATTCTCTATTGTTCAGCACCAAGTCTTTTTGGGTCTTCTGCATTTTAGTTTTTACTAGGCTGTCCCTCTTAGTACTGTCTTTGGAAGTGAGGATGATCGCATGGTACGCATATGACCAAGTCATCCATGGCAACGTCTACAGATAGTTTCTGCATTAATTGTCGCTTTCAATCAGCATATCAATTTATTATTGAAAAGTTTTTAAAGCCAAAAGAATCTATGGATTTTTTGTAGACTTCTTTTCTGAAATGCTTTTACTCTTCCAGTATCCTGAACCATAGAGGAGAACACCAAAGACATTACTAACTGGGATCTTGGTGTGGACATTCTGGTCGCTTGGTCTCCACATGAGACATGAGTGTCAACATTCAAAATACTTGATTTGCCTTCGATTTCTTTGCATAGTCACCTATTTGCGTGACCCTGAATCTTTGGTACTAAAACTTTGTTTCATCTGTCAGGGGCATGTTGCTCACGGTGATTGTGTCATTCTCTATGGTATTTGTATTTCTGAAGACCTATGTTTTCCTGGAGTTCACCTTAAGGTCTATGGTACTGGAAGTTTACTCTACGATAAACTTTTAGACATGGACATTTTGATACTTGTCGGAAAGCAATCCTATGTCACTGGCTTAGTCCTAGTCCTCAGGTACAAAGTTCAGCACCAATTGTATGATTTGCCTCTTTTCTTTCGTGGTTTGCTGCTTAAGCCAATCAATAGCTAGATAAGATAAAACCTATGAATGAAAGTATTGCTGGTTCACTTTAGGTGGTCATTGTGGGCAGATTTAGATTCAAGGTTCTCATAGAGGGATTTGATATATACAGACCAGGTTGTTTTTTTCTCTTGGGAATTCCAAGGTGTCTGAGAATCTCCCAAAGGAACGTGGTGAGTGGCTGTCAAAAGGTTTCTCAAAACTCAAAGTCAACAAAAACAAGAGAGAGAGTTGCATTCCATTCTTTCTCTTCTAGTATTTACCTAATGACTTCAGATGAAGATGAACCAATGTTGGCCTGATCTCCACGGCTTTTATAAACAGTGGCAAATCTAAGTGGGTGCAAAGGGGCAACTCCAGTGGGCACTTTTGGGTTTATATATAATACTTTATAAATATTGTATGTGTGTTAGTGGGGGTTCACTTTTGAGAGTTTGCCCTGGGCAGCCTTTAGACAAGGTACGCCACTGGTTATAATTTCTTTTAGCATACTGTGGCAGAAGGCTTTCCTGGTGATTTACAGAAAAGTATAGCAGTGCCATTTGTTGCAATCAGATATAGTTTAAATTTTAGGCAATCTGATGATATTTCCTGTCTTCCAGATAGTTTTGATCTTTCTGAGTCCAAAAACCATCAAGCTGAATCTTTGCACAACATGACTATCCAGCAGGCCCATAACATGTGGCAGATTGCCAACTCTACTTTTCCATGATGCCTCCCTGGTAAGTAGAAAGTAGAAGGTATTTTTCATTATGTGTGAAATGGTGCGTCCAGAGCCAAAAGCATCTCTGCACATAATCTTTCATCTCCTGATGCCATGTAATATTTCCTATTGTGTGTGGTTCCCTTTACTCCTCAAGTGGTGATAGTGCTGAAATCAGGGCCTATTTGGCTGCAGGATGATTTTTTTTGTGTGAAGAGGAAGTCTATGGCAGTTTATAAATATTCCAAAATGTTGCTTAATTTCCTAGGTAAAGATAGTACCATCCTTTGCTTTAAGTGGCATTTCCTGGCTCTTTCTATTGTGTCCTTTTGGGTGTCATGTTGGCTGTTACAATATCATCATGTCCCCTTTTTCAGTCCCTATGACTATCTACTCTGCAACTTTCTCTACACACTTTCTGTTGTCTCCTTGTGCTGCTTTCTTCACTCCCTTGTCATTGTGTCTGTATGGTCTTGTTACTCTTTTCCTTAGTCTGGTAGATTTTGTGTCATGAATTCTTTTCTTCAATTGTCTTTTTTGTAAGTTTTATTTTGATCAAATACCTACTCTCTTGACTTGTTTTTCCAATTTCACAGAACTTCATCCCCTGCTTCTACCAAGGCTCTGTTCAGGTTATCAATTGATATTTTATTGTCATCCCAATGGCATCTATTTTTAGGGCAATAACAAAATATTTCCTTGTCTATAAATTCTTTATGTCATGATATCACAATGTCAAGATGCCACAATATCACAATTTCATGATAACACAATGTCAAGATGTCACAATGTCATGATATCCCAATGTCAAGATGTCAAAATGTCAAGAATGTTGATTTCAGCTGTTGCCTTATGTTAAGCTGTGGTTAACAAGTTTTGGTCTCTACAACAAGATGCATCACTCAGATATCCTGCAGGGATGATGATGTTATCAATCTTGCTCTGCATTCTTATATCTAGTGATGTCCAATGTCAGTTTAGGTGCCTCTGATAATAAGGTTGTGGCTTATCAGTCTTTCCCCTTGGTTGTTTTCTCATCTCCTAGAGAGAGCTTTCCAAAATGTTTTTTCTCTACTTTACTTTCAAAAGTTAACAGTTTAAAAGCAAAATATGCACCTAAAAGTAAGATTTAGCGGAGTGGATATTCTAAGATTTTAGTTTTAATAGTCTGTAATTAATTTTTTTTTAAAAAGATAATATTCATTTAATAGTTTTTAAAAAGTGTGCTTACCATTGTGAAAGAAACATGCTGAAGTTTTTTTCTCTCAATTTCTTCTCTTCTTTCTTTATTTTGTAATTCTTTTAAAACAGTTTCTTGATGTTTTTTGATGAAATGCCTTTTTTCAGCTTCATCCATTTGGCAAATGGCTTCAATGGCTTTATACATCAGCTCCACCCTTTTATGGTTCATTAGTTCCTTTGTTAGAATTTTATTCAAGGCGAGTAACACAGAAACACCTCCCGCACTACGACTTCTGCCTGAAATGTTTGTATGGAAATATGTGCCATTTACGGGTCTTATATTTCAGTCTGCAATGACTCTGATTTATTAATAATTATCCATTCCAATTAAGGCTATTGGCTATTTTATTTTCATATTTAAAAAAAAATTAATAATATAGTTGTAGAAATTTAATTGTGCACTTCTTACTGTACCCCCAGTCTTATGCATTCTATACTTCCCCAGTGTTGTACATGCTTTACTTTTCTCCAGTTTGTACATTTTTTACTTTACCAAGAGATGTTTATATTTTTTTAAATACTTTGGCAGTTACTAGGTTAGTTGGATTGTGATCAGTACTAAGACTATGATAATTTGAGGCTCCTAGAGATGTGCAATATTTGTCTTTCATCAATAAATCATTAAATATTTACCTATCAAAAAAAGCAAGGTATACTAAAGGTATACTAATTACATCAAATTTTCTTAACCTTTTATTTAAATCCATGTTCAAAAACTAAAGCATGCTTGATATGCTACAAATAGATCATATTTTCTTCACTTAGTGCAGTTTTATACTTTATTGAGAGGGTTAACATCTGTTGAGTTGATATACATGATCTTTTTAAACTCTTATTTAGAGATTTAGCTGGAAGTTTTATATTAAACAAATAAAATCAACATAAAATGTGTAAATTATGTATGTATAAAATAAAAACAGAAACTTGTGGTTTGGAATTCATAGCCAAACCAGACATCATGAAAATGACAATGATTTACTGAGCATAAACAAAAAACTGTTTAAAAATGCTAATTACTGATAATTATATGGATTTTTTGGGAGTCTGTGGAAAGAATTTTGACACGTTTCCTATTATGTTTTGAATTATTTGTTTATTTAAACCACTGTTGTTATGTCTGAAAGAAGTACAAAGCCTTATAAATACCTCATTAAAGCTTGAAGTCACCACAAATCAAAATCTCTATTTAACATGAGACTATTAATAGATTTGCTAAATATCTGGTTTTTTACAAAGTGTAACTAAATATTTAGAAAATCAGTTTTATATAAGCTATAGGTATATTCAACCTTTCTATAAGTTGCATATTGTATACATCAATACAGAGGCTTTTAATCTTTCTATTCATATAATATTTATTAAATTATGTTTCTCCTTCTATTCATATAATATTTATTAAATTATGTTTCTCCATACTTAGTTTTTCCCCATAAAATAAAGCTGTCTGGCAAACACTCACTTTTACATTTTGTCAGGCGCTACCACTATGGACCATAGGCCTATTTTGCCCATATTTTTAGATTCCTCACAACATGTGATATTTTCTTTACAGAGCCTTAATAAAATCTTATTAATTTATTTAATTTACCTCTTGTTTGTACAGTGGATATTTCATTGCCTACATGATTGTATTTAATGACCAAGTTGCATTCCGGAATATCAAGTCCTTCTTCAGCAACTGATGTTGCTACTAAGACCCTCACCTCACCCGTTCTAAATTGCTGAAGAGTTGTGTCTTGTTGTGTTTGTGACATACCTGACAAAAGAAGACATACAGTTTTCAATATTACTTCATTTTACATAATGTTTATCATTTCAAAGCATTTAAAAAAATTTTAATTCAGCAGAATAAATTACCCCTTAAATTTAATGTGACGAAAAATACGTTCTTGATTTGACAGTGTGTGCCACTTCTTAGGATATCTCTAGACAATTAAATATCTATAACATGCTTAAACCAAAGCACAAATACAGTTATAGACAAGCCATTGTGGAATATAGGTCAAACAACTGTTTAGCTCCCCATATGGGTCAATCAGTGGCACTACTCCTTTCTATGCTGTACTGCTCCTTTCTATGCAGTACTCCTCCTTTCTATGCTAGAATCAACCTTGGCATTTGAGTTTTTTTTTTATAAGTTTAAAAATTAATTTCTTGGTAACCCTTCTGTTGAGTTAAGTTATAAATTATATTTTGCCTGAAGGAGGATTTTATTTTCTATATCTAAGTTAAGTATAATAGCAAGCCTCTATCTTTTGGGGGAAATTTTACTATTAAGCAATTAATGGTGTCTTCACATTCATCCATGGTGGGTCTCAACCCCTGCTAAAGACCAGTTATATATAAATATATAATGCAGCTTAGACAGCGGAGACAAAACCTGAACAAACACATTCAAGTCTTCTGGGTTTTGACTTTCACTCAGGTTTGAGTATTGAAGGATTGTCAATTTTACCAAAACTTCCCGCTGTCAGCAGCCTGCCAAAAGACATGACTTGGTCTGCCATGATGTTATTGCTTTCTGGTATGTCTGGTCGGCCCTATTTATAGGGGATGCACAAATGGGTTACTCATTCGCTATTAAAAAGCCATTTGAACACATTGCGCTCCTTGCGTTATTCTCTGGGCACATTTGGGCACTCTATTTTGTTCTTTTTCCTTCAAATGTGTCTTTTGCTTTCTCTGTTTTTACCATCCTCTTAGAACCAATAAAAAAACTATAGTTTTCAAGACCTTGTTTCCTTTATTCTAAATGTATTCAAATCTGTATTTCCACCAACAACCCACCATTTGGCTATAGTTTTTTGGCGCTGCTAGCATCGTAAAATTGTGCCACCAACCAATCACCCACTCAGCACACAGTTACATAAATAAATTTACAGTTGCAAAGAGTTAGGATTATCAGGTTTTTATAACAGGCTTGGATTCCACTTTAAATGGAAAGTTAATGAGTGTGGGTTAAAACATAAAATAAAAGTGCATTTTTACCTAGTCCCAAGGTGTTACTACTGCTAGTAAAAGGTGCAGCATTCAATGCTGCTAAAGATTGTTCAGATCTATTCAACCATGAAGCCAAAGATTCTGCCAAAGCTCTTGTCTTGACAAAAATAATTCCTCTCTGGGATTTCTCTTTTAAATGTTCCTTCAGTGTATTTGCTAGAATTGTTAAATTTCGGTTTTCCTCCAATCCTCCAGTGATTGCTAGTTTCTCCAATTCTATCATCCCAAACAAGATTATAAACAATTATTTCAAGTCTTTAGAGAAAAGGTTTGTAAAATATAAGTTGTAATGACTTTCAGCACATAAGATAATTCAAAACTGCTTTAATTAGAGCAATAATTTCAGGTGTGATGCCTTCTTTCTATAGAAGATTAATATTGAGTCCTTTAAGAAATGCATTTTAAAAAATCATTTACTTATTCTTTAATGCAAAAATTCAAACCCTGGTGCCTGGTTATAGAACTTATAGGACTTGAATATTTCACACTCTCATAAAAGGAAACTAAAATTTAAAACACCATTTAAAAGTCTATCAATTTAGACTATAACGGCTAATGTATAGTAATAAAGTTTTTAAACAGAAATTTTTTTTCATCTTCCCAATCAACCATCAATAATATGATTTTTAATGTTTATATTATTATTGTATAGATAACTGACATTTTAAAATTGGAAAGATACCTTGAAAATAGCTGTAGAAAGTACATTCATGTGTTGTACTCTCTTCATCTGCTTTGAAAGTCTCAAAATATTTTTTCAAGTACCCCATCACATCTTTCAACTCGACCAAATCATGACTCTCTTGGGCAACATTGTAGGCCTGAAATGTATTGCAAGAAGATTATTTCATCGCTGCAAATTTAAATAACATTTTTTTAGCTTAATAAGTCAAATCTAAATAAATTCATATTGATATAATTTATTCCAAATAAGGATTCGTGGGGTTTACCAAAAATTATAGAAACTGAAAAAAATTTCTTAATGTGAATTTCTTAATTCCCACAATCTTCTTACTTTCCCATCAGATACATTTCAGCTAATTGTTATTTTATTCAATTCTGGTTTTCAAGTTGTTTGTTATCTGATGAATGCTTCTTGCAGATACCTTAATTGTTTTGTTGCATTTTGCCCCAGGTTTTCCAATACTTTGTTTAGTTTATGTCCATTCTTAATGTGAATCAATTTGATAATATATAAATCAAAGATTTATGTATGTGATTTTTATTACCATCAAATGTTTGGTGATAATTATAATAATCCTGACTGAAAGATCAGTGGCTGTATCTAGCCACTCGGTCCTGGCTTCCTTCTGTATCTTTTCTGCCCATTGCCCATACTCCAATAGATTTCTTTTGGTGATTGGGATTTTCTTTACTAACTGTTTCAACTCCTCATTTTTGAGTTCTGATAAAATAACATAAAATATTAATTCTTCCATATTTAAAAAAATGAATTGTATGAGCTTTGCACGAGTACAAATTTTCATTATCTAATATTTTAATAATTGTTGTTTTTCAAATAAGTTACATTTTTTATGAATGGGCAAAAACAAAATACATAAAAGTAATAAAGCATACTTTTCACTTTGACATGCATTTTACCTCAGAAATGTTTAAACAAAATAGTTTTTTTAGATTAATGTATTTACGTGACACATGATGTGTAAGGTTATCTTCCAATTTCTTCATGATTTCATTGATTTTGATAACAAACTTATCCTGGAAACGTTCTTTAAGCTGTTTAGTTGCTGAAAATATTCAAAAAGATTGAATATAAATATGACATAGATAAATTATAATTATTATAACCCTAATAAAAGGGAATACAAAAAGAGTTAAAAATATTGATTAATTTTGGAACAGCCTTTGAGAGTTTCTGAAGTAAAGTTTTTCATTTTTCAGCCAAAGGTGGTAGGCTAATAATTTTTTTTCCATAAGATCACAGACCTCTATTAATCTTTGTTAGTAAAACTTAGGCTGAAGTTAATTTTTTACATAATTTATTTAAAATAGTGGAATTGCTTTCGTATAGGTCTATTATTAAGTTTTATTTAACATATAACTTAGATAATACAATATTAATGTTTATGTGTTTATAATTTATATATTTAAATGATCAGGGTACAGCTCAGTGCCCATTGATAACCCTGCTTGTAATTTGAAAAATATTTTTATCTATTTGTTCAGATTTTAAGGTAATGTTTTACTTTCATTAACTTTAAAACTTGAATTTAAAAAACAAGAAATAACTACTCTTTCAATGTAATAATTATTTCCGTTACCTACTTTCATTTAAAACAGGTAAATAGCTTTCCAGTTCTGTTTTGTGCTTCTCAACAACTGATATGTCCACAGTGTCCATATTGCCACATAGTTCTAAAATTTTCTTTTTGGCCTCTTCCACTTGCACCGCTTTGTCCACACTGATAGAGGCAGTAAGTCCAACGATCTAAAAAAAAATTAATAACTCAAATTGGTTTAAGACTAAACAAATTATATTTACTCTGAAGGAATAATAATTTATTCCTAAATTAAAATAAGTGAAAAAATGATTAAGTTAGTTTTCTTGTTCTTATCATTATTATACATGGTTTTATATAGCTTGATAACCCAGTCTAGGGCTGGGCTCACCACACTACAATTTAACAAACATAATCAAAAAACTTTAAAAATTAATTGACATACCTTAATTAAATAAAACAAAACAAATATATATTTAAAACTATTTACATGTCAAGCCATGGATGGCATCCCAGTAGCATCGTTTTTCAGTCAAATGTGGGAATCAGTCAGGATAGTAGTAGTAGAGTTTAAAAAGGTGTGTTTTGAGTGCAGTTTTGAAGGCTGTGATGGTCGGTATATTGTGGATGTGTAATGGAGGAGAATTCCACTATTTGGGGGCACAGAAAGACAATGATCGTTCACCGTTCATTTTTTGTGCGAGTCTTGGGGGCAGAAAGAATATGCGTATCTGCGGATGATCAAAGGTGTAGAAGGAGTGAATAGACAAAGAGAAGTTCGGTTAGATAGGAAGGGCAGGAATTCGAGAAAATGTTGTGGCAGAGAACAGGGAGTTTGTAGTCAATCCGTGCTTGTACAGGGAACCAATGAAGTGTGTGAAGTGATCACGTTTTTTTGTCTTTAGAATTAGCCAAGCGGCTGAGTTTTGAACCTTTTGTAATTTTTCTAAGAAGTGTTTTGGTGAACCTGATAGAAGAGAGTTACATTTGTCAAGACAAGAGCACAGACTAGGGTTTTTGTTGCACTAACTGTGAGGTATTGGCAGATGGAGCTGATCTGACGAATAGCGATGTATGCAGAGCGAAAAATGTGAGAGATAAGACTTGTTGTTTGACAGAATATAACCAAGATTCCTAGCGGAGAATGTAAACTGTATATCCGAGTTACCTACATGAAATGAAGTGGGGAGAGTTGAATTAGAGGATGATTTGTGATCGTGAATAAGGCGTGCTTCTGTTTTGTCAACTTGCTGACTGTCATACATGTCTTGACATCATCAATGCTCTCCCGCAAAGTTTGGATAGCAGAATCGACAAGAGAGAGATTGTATAGCTGCGTGTCATCTGCAAATGACTGGCTGGCCACAGCATACCTCCCCAGCAAGAGGAGCAGACGCCTGATATACAATGTGAATTGAACCGGGCCTAAAACGGACCCCTGTGGCACTCCATATACCAAGTCAGCACTGCCTGAGAGACAGCCATCGACAGCGACCGCCTGCGTCCTATCGGAGAGATGGGATCTAAACCAAGTCAAAACTGATCCAGAAATTCCCAAGTAAATTTCAAGGGTTTCGTAAAGGGTTTCATGGTCAAAGGTCGCACTATGGTCTAAGAGAATCAGGATGGAGATATCACCACTGTTCAATGCGAGCAAGAGGTCATTGGTGACTCTCAAGAGAGCTGTCTCAGTGCTATGGAAGGGTCTTTAGGCCGACTGATTAGGACTGAGAAGAACGTGGTCATTTAAGTAAGCAAAAAGTTTATTCGAACTAGTTTTTCAATGACTTTAGATAAAAATGATAAGTTAGATACAGGTCTAAAGTTTTTAAAATTATTTTCATCCAGACCAGGCTTCTTAAGCAATGGTTTAATGACAGCTGACTTACAAATAGAGGGAACAGTGCCAGAAGACAAGCGTTCATTTACTATATGGGTTATCGTTGGGAGCAAATGATCTAACGACTCAACCAACAGGGAGGTAGGGATGGGGTCTTAATAATTCTTAAACAATAATTTGTATTCAAAGCTTCAGTTTAAATATCAAGGAAATAAAAAAGAAGTCAGTTTTTCAAATATTCATCATTTTGAATAAATTACCTGTGGTAGTTTGATGTTGGGCTTAGATTTAATCTCATGGTATGAGTTCATAAGTAAGTTATAAGGTTCTTCTTTGTGAGTGTGATGACATTCATCAAAAACAATCAATGAGAAAACTCCAAGATGTTCTGTTAATTCATTTCTTTTTATTGCATTGTAGAGTATCATGGGTGTCATAACAATGACATCATATTCAGGAACAAGCATATGTAGTTGTAACCCTTTTTTACTTCGTCCTGTTATACAAACTGCCTGGAAGAAAAATGTATTAAAATTGAAAAAAACAACATCTTATTGAATATTTAAGATTCTTTATGTGGTCAAGGGCTTTAACCTTGAAAGTGAACACAGGAGCATAAGGAAGATAAAATGTATAAACCAATTTATAATCTTATGGCTATTATTGTATCAGAATTTTAAGATACATTTTTATTTCATCATACAAAATAAATTATGTGCCTGGACCCACCTCACCACTCCAAACACATTCTTTTCCAAAACATTTATAAACTTTTCTGTTAAGTTCTGTTTCCACTCTCCTTCCCCTCTTTCTTTCCCCAGACAATTTCTATAATCACAAACTTAATTTCCAATTTATCAAGAAAATTCACACAATTTCTTGCATTATTGAAAATTAACTTTAGCCACATAGCAGAAATCAGCCAGAGATTACATATTTTGTACATCTAAAAAGGTTATTTGTAGTCATAAATTATATATTAAACCACACTACATAATATTTTAATAATAAATTTTTAATGTAAATTTTTATTATAACTTACACTAACAGCGTTAGTAGAGATTTTTCAAGTCAACATTTTTCACATTGTACAGGAAATATTTTTATTTGTAAGTTACAACAATGATAATAAAGCTAAATCTTTGTTTTTATAATTTTTAATTAATTTAAAAATGTTGCATTTTCAGTAACATGATGATATTTTCTGCGATAAAGAAATTAAAATTAGCTACACTTAAGACCTAATAGCATTCAAGTTCAAGATATTATTGGTAATTTGCCATTTAATTTGATTTAAGGTTTCAAATTCATGCCCATGTCTTGATTAATTAATGCTTCTGTTATTCTACTGTCTTAATATACTATCATGATATAATGCACAATCTTTCTGTCTCAGAATGCTTTGTTTCTCAATCTATTATTAGCAAAGTTTTCTTATTCTCCTGACTCCTAGCCTATAATCCAAATGTTTTTTTAAATTATATTCTTTACAGACTCTGCATCATGATGAAGTACTTTGCTGCATCTTCTATTAAGAATAAATAGTTAAATAGAAAATATAAAAAGCACTTCAGCTGATAATCAAACAATGTAAAAGATAGGTCCGCAGATAAAACTGTTGGAACAGTGTATAATTTAAGATATAACTGCATTTCCAGTGTACCTTGTAATCTTCAGGAAGGTCATTGCATATTACTTTGTACTGCTGAAAAGCAAGGGGCACTGTCCTTGCTAGGAAAGCCACTTTCTTTTTCTCACAAGCTGTAACAAAATATTTAGTTAATATTTAGTTAATACTGTCAAAAAGTATTTTTAATTTGTTGGGGAATAAATTGTTGAAATTCAAATAAATAAGGGTTAGGAAATTTTTTATTTGACTTGAGCCAGAGGTCAGAAACCAGTCTTTGGATAGAGAGTGAAGAAAGATGACTCCTTTCTCTTCTCTTTCTAAGCAAGTTTTTTAACACTTGTGAATATGTTTCAGGAGTTATTAGGAAAGTTGTAAATAAGGAAATGAGAAATGCATAATAAGTGAAAAATACATAAATGAAACTACAAAAAATAAAAAATTTTTTTTTTAAAAAGTGACTTCCAAAAAAAGCATTCTGCAGCAAATAAAAAATTATAGCATGTGAGTACAAGAGCAAACTTGGAATTTTTATGAGGCTAAATTGATCATCTTATTCCCTAGTTTGGTTTCAGAGAATGAGTTGCTAGAGAGCAATTGCTAAGTTAGAAAAAAATGAAAGCTGATTTTTCATAATGGTGTTGTAAGCTAGTTTGTTGTGAATGTTGGGTAGGGGGAGTCGTGAATCGTGAGTGTTTTGTGAGTTGTTGATCGTGAGGTCAGAGCGTGAAGTTAGTCCGTGGTGTGGAACGTTTGCGTAGGCTGAGTTGTTGTGTGGTATTATAAAAGGGATGTGTGTTAGCTAGAGGTCAGAGAAGAAAGTCAGACAGAGAAAGAAGAAAGGTAGAGGAGCAAGAGAATTGTTAGTCGTCGAAAGTTGTCAGTTAGGAGTTAGTCAGTAGCGATAGGAGCAAGTGGATAATTGGTCGTTGGACTGATGTGTATCCTGTTTTGTTAAGAATCTAATAAATATTATATATTGTTACACTGGACCTTGTGTTCTATGTGAGAGATTCATACACCCTAGACAAAGCAAGAGGGCCGTAACATTTCTAGTATAACAAAGGTTGTAACAAATGGGATTATTCTTTTCTCAAAAAAAAATAATTATGAATAACCTGTATAAAATTCACAGTATGTATCTATATTTTTCCCTGTACCTGTATTTCAAAGTTGATGATGAAATGTTTTGCTTTGCAAGTTAACTTTTTTTCTGTCTAAAAACTTTGTTGCTGCATTTAAATGCATTACCTTTATCCCTCTGAAGATGCTCAAGTAGTATATGAATGGCTACTCTTGTCTTTCCTGAACCAGTTGGAGCACAGATTATAGTATTTTTTCCAGACAAAGCATTTTCAGCCAACTCCTTTTGATATTCTCTTAATTCTTTGGTCGGTTGAGTAGAAGTTCTTAAACAATCTGATGATTTCATAATAAATTAATCAATGATGAAAATAAAATTCCAAATATTTCAATGATGAAATGAAATAAGATATTTATGATGTTAAAATCTGAATCAACAATTGGATCTGGAACTCCAATAACAAAACAATATTAACATTATTACTTAAAATAAACTGTAAAATATTCTTTACTGCCATAACCATAATATCACTTTTTATTTCTCTGTATTACTCCATTAAAGATTTTGTTGGTGAATATACTGAATGTCTCTAATACTGAATAATATTATTGAACAGACACAAAGTTAGCTTGGAATATATTACTATTGTACACATTATTAAAAGTCAGTTGTTTTAACTGTATACTTGAATCTTTTTTTTCTTCTTTTTTCCTCAACAATGTTTAGATAATATATCTACTTCCAGCCATTCATATTATATAGGTAAATAAATTTTAATATTATAAAGATGTTACTTCTTTAAAAAAAACAACAACTGTGTTGAGTCTTTTATTACCTCTCAAAATTGTTGTGAAATGCTTTGAGGTGAAAGATGCTTCATTTGATGATAATCTTAAAGTTATCGGGCACAACATTGCCTTTCCATAAAATCAAAATGAAATATACAATGACATAATATGAACCTTATCAAGGCCAAATAAGTAGGAACTTGTTTTATTCTAAAAATAGCACTGTCATTTACTCAAAAAGGGGGAAACACATTAAGATTAAATGACAAATTATATAAATTATAATTGTTCATATTTTTGATATACCTTGATTGCCTTGAGTGGAAGTTATGCACACGTTGTTATAAGTAGGCTCCTGCTCAGTAACAACTTCAAAATTGCTACTACTTATTGTAAGCGACCATAGCTTTGAGGACAAGTCTTCATTGCTTAATGATAGTTTTGCTAGACCTGGAACAAATAATTTTAGAAACTTACTGTTATATTATCATTTAACTGTATTGTCAATGCTCCTTGCAAGTAAATAAGTAAGTAAGCAATGCTCCTTCCCTTTTATTATCATTTAGTAAAAGCCAGTGTTTATTGTAACCATGTTGTTTTGTTTGTGAGTTGTGATTAAAGATCTAGGCATGAAGCTGTGTAGTTGTGTTAGCTTTCCTGTTTGACTTTGTATTAAATAGGCCTATATTATCACATAATATGGTGGCAGTATTTTTATTGTGAATAAGGCATATCACAGTGAAAATAATTATGATTAACAAAGAATTCATCATACACCTTCTTTAAATGTGAAGAACTGTGAGGAATGGAAACTGTTCAAACTAATGTGGATGAAATACTGATGAAGAGGAGGAATAAACAAAAGCCCTATTCCTACACATCCTAGGACCAGGGAGATTGTCTATTTACAATGGTATGCACTATGTACATAAATTCACTTGATCATTTCATGAGCAGGAGAAATGAGACTTTTGAGAGGTACGTTTTTAAGCAGAAACCTTGTGAACATATTGATGACTACATTGCAGCACTATGCGCATTAATAGCTCAAATGTGCAATTTTTATGAACATATGGATGACTCTCTGCTGAAAGATAGAAGTTTAGTAAGCATTAAAGATAATGAAACCATTGCAAGAAACCAAACTTACCCTGCAGACTTGGATAGCGATTTCTTGAGCCAATGAAGCAGCTAATTTTCAACTAAAATTATTAGGAGAGTTCACTGCCAAGGCAGAGGATGAATAAGATGTCCAGAAGAGGCTTATGCTATACTGTCTGGTAAGAGATGCCAGACAAACACTGCTCAAAACAATACTTCTCAAAACAATAAGCAGCCTAAATGTAAATTTTGTGTACCAATACAATATCTTCAAGAAATAATTGTGTCTTAAATGGGAAAAGTATGTAAGATCTTCAAGCAGAGAAATCATTTTGTTAAATGTGACCAGGAGAATCTACAAGGCGTGGAAGGGAAGAGTGATCTATGTTACTCTTTATCTTCTCATAAAGAAACTGATGGCCCAACTGAGGGAGGTAGCAAAAAACCTAAATATTTAGGAAACAATTGTAAAGTTTGCTTCCCTTTAATTATACTTATAATTTTTGTCTGACAAGTTGAACAGTGACCACGACAAGGCTAGAAATATCTTTTGATAAGAAAGACTCTAAATTGATAGAACCTGGATCTGAGGGATTTGAATTACAGTCAAACTTAACTCTAGAGTTGTGAGCACACACACATTTTTAAGAGTAGCCTACTTTTAAAAATTAAAAATAGGCTACCCGGCCTACCCTCTACCGAGTGAGTTTTAAAGTTTCTAATTAATTTAGTTTACTTAGACTTATTTACGCATCCGCATAGGCTTACTTACTAATGTATTATTGTAAAATTAAAATGAATTTGAAATCATTTTTTTGCCTATTTTAACAATTGTTGGTTTAGACATTAGAGGGGGGCGTTTATAAAGAATGGGGAAAATGGGGTGGGGTGTATCTTGGCACTCCTTTTTTTTTTTTTTTTTTTTATTTTGCTAACTCAAAAATGAAAGACGCAGGCCTAATTATTACTTTACTTAAATAGTGATGTTGCTAGTAGGAGGAACGAGACCGAGGCTCTACTAAGATTACTAAGAACTTCTTTTTAAAAATCTAATCTATTTAAAACTTCACAATTTTAGATTTTATTGTTATTACTATAATTCAATACCGGTAGTATTTATTGAAAATACCCGCTGAGAAAATCTAATTCTAATAATTAGTGATTTAGGCTAATAATTAAATTAAAATTAACTTAATGCTAATATTACTATTACTAATTTTACTAGTTTGCTTACTTAATTTCCTTACCGTACTAGTAGGCCTACTAACTTCTTACTCAATTCTTACTTACCTAGGTCTAGGTCTAGGCTGCTGTCCAGATCCATTTTTTTACCCCTTTGCCTCTGCCCTTTGAGCCTTTACTTTTACTTTAATCTTATTACTTAGGCGATAATCTTTGTTAATTAAATTATCGAAATCCCTTAAATTATAGTATAGGCTACCGTTCATTACACTGTTACACTTAACTATGAATCTAGAAATCAATGGCTAGCTCTATTAACTGAAACTGAAACGTCCAATGCCGTTAGTTAATAATCATCGCTCGACTAACGGCAGATTTTCTATACTCATGCATCAATGGGTTCCTGGAAAATAAAAATGGGAATTCCCTATGCCAAGCCAATGGTTATATGTGTATTTCTCTATTATAAAAAATTGAAACGTGACCATGGAGGTTGCTTTTAGTATAAATAATAAAGAAGTGATCAATTTAAGAATTATAGGTTTTTTTTAAATAATGCTCAATATTTATTAACTTTTAAGTCAATCTGTTTTTATGTTCATGCCTGCTGGGTCACGACCACGGTGTGTGTGTGAGTGTGGGACATCTTTCATCTTGTCTTCTACTTCTATTCTATGTCTATGACTATGACTATGACTATGACTATGACTATGATACTATGATTATGATTTTATGAATACTGTGAGTACTGTGATCATGAATGATGATGTGATATTCTGTGATAATAAATTAAAAGTTAAAGACATGCCATATTATGTCACTAGTGAGAATTAAATCTAATTTTGGCTTACCCTAATTTTAATTAATCACATGACATAATATTATAATATTAATATTAATAAGAACCAGGGATCAAAGATTTTTTGGAGTGTTACTTCGGCGACCCACTATATTATTTTATATCACTAATCAGTGGAGACAGGAGTGATTGTGAGTGTGAGTTGACTCACCAGCCGGCTGTCTACGACTTTCAGTCTACTGTAGCAAGTAGGTATTAGTATTAGTCTACTTTTTCGTCGACAGTAATTTCAATAGTAGCTACATTTAGATTTAATTCATTATATAGTTATATAGGCCTATATTAATATGAAGCTGTCGACATTATTATAAATATAATATCGGCGACTAATCGTTACTGAAGTCTGAAGTTAAAAATAAATAATGGATGGCCAGTAGTCTCACTGGCAGTGGTCATGGAATGAAGATCCATGAATCCATGCCTTTATAAACTTTATTATTATAGTTATACCTGCAAGCCTGCTTTAGTAATTACATAGTAGGCCTATTCAGTGACATTGTGATTGTTTCAAATTATCAATACATTTTTGTTTAGCCATACACCCAGAAACATCACTCACATAAATATGAAATATGGCACACACATATTTGAAGTCAAGGGATCCTGACTTGGTTAGAGAAATTATTAAGTCTCTAAATGACTTTTTAATCAAATATCTAAATGTGGAGACTCTCATTGAAGAAATACTGTGTTGTGGTAAGTGCAATTATAATGTGTAGGGTCAATTATAATGTGTAGCTTTAACTTTAACTGCTTCTTATTTTTTTAAGGTACCCTAGAAAAGCAGTCCCCAACCTATTTAGCACCAGGGTCCGGTTGCAAGGAAGACAGTTTTTTTTTTTTACTGACTGAGCGCATGGTATTTTGGTTTTCAAGAGAATTTCTAGAATTTGCATCACCTATTAGCTTTCTTTAAAAGAAATTAGAACTTAAACAACCTTTTCACATCACCTATTAGCATTCTTTAAAAGAAATTAGAACATAAACAACCTTTTCCCAATCAAATGGTAAATGGTAGAGCACTAAACATTTAATCAGTGTCATCAATATCAACTCAAAAAAGGGGGCGGGGGGGGGGGGTAAGGTTGAATGCTTGTGGTGAACTAAAACTAGGTCATCACACACACTATAATAATATATATATAAATATATTGGCTACTGTTTAGAATCAATTATTCTTTCAAACAACTAAACATACAGAGTACCAACTATGATCTACTTAACCAAAAGCTAATCTCTTACAATCTTGCTCACTGATTGGGGGAAGGGTGCATTTAAAAGAAAATTGGGGGTGGGGGGGGTCACGAATTTGTGACTATATATTATGAGGGTGTCTAAATTTTGTGACAAATTTGTTACGATGGGAGAGGGGGTTAGATAATCAGCCAAAATATGAATTTACGGATAACCTGCATGGTCTCAAACCTACGATATCTACACCTAACTTACCTCATCTTATCCTCTCTACTACACTCTTAATCTTACCAATGTCTTTTTCCCCTTGCTATCATTCACCTGCTCTTACAAAAACCTACATGTCCTCTTAAAACGATTCTCCCCTTCCTTCCCTAAACCCTCAACCATACCTTCACCATCTTCTCCTACCATTTGCTCCTTTGACCAACTGTGATGTAGCGCTCTCCTCAATATAATAACTACAACAGCAAAAAAAACTTTATGTTGAAATCAGTGAAGAATGAAATGCAGCTTTGCTTTTTAAACATCTCTACATTATAAATGTAAATAAAGAGTATTTAATTTAATGCCTTCTTTTAAAGTATTGTTTTCAAAAAATTATATAAAGTTGCTTGATAGACATGATAGCTGCCTGCAAGAAAAACGTATTAAAGGTCTTCTTTTAAAAAGGAATCAGTAGAGTATCTTTCAGCTTGATTATAATAGTATTTAAATAATTACTTTTTAAAAATAAAAATCAATTAATATCTTGCCACACTATTTAAATTTTGCTTTGAAAATTCCAATCATCAGCCAAAGATGAGGAGGTTCACTTAAACAGTCTTAGCTCTGTACATGAATTACTCAACTGGGTCCTAGATGATGATACTAACAGTGACCTTGGTGTTGGTCTATTTATAACAGCTTTGAAGAATCTCAAAGGTAAATAATAACTTTGATATTCACTCAAATAATATAATAAGACATTGTTTACTTCTGATCAGTACAAATTTAATGATTAAAAATATAAATCTAGCTAATAATATGTAGACCTAATTTGGATATAAACCTCTAATAACTGATTAAAACCACAGAAAGGTTGACTGCACGACCATTTGTCATTTTTTCATTATATTAATTTTTTACATTTAAATTATAAGTGTGAAATAAAATATAAATGTTATATTATTAAATTTACCATTTCATTAGGCAAAGGTCAGCAGGTATTTAACAGCACATTTGATTTGAAAAAATATGCTGATGATTTCATACATTTAATTAATGGAAGTTTATTTGAGAGTCTGTCTCTCGGACACCTGAATACTATACTTGAAGTCATGTGGAAGGAAAAAATTATATTTGAGGTAGGTTTTAATTTTAGAATTAAAAGTTGGATAATCCTTAACCACATTGCTACCAATGACGTCCACGCGACGTCACGATCACCCACTTTCAATTACCAAGGACGTCACATTGTCGTCATAACAAAAAGTCAAAGAACTTTTCTGAAATACCAGGGACGTCGCGTCAACGTCATATTTCAATGCTTTATATTTCCTTATTCATTAATCTATAGAGAAGTTAAAAAGAAAATATGATAGAGAATGAAATATACCGGAAAAAAAAATGTATTAGAATTATTATTTTTTTTATTTAAGTTAAATTTTATTGCTGAGTCAGCAAAAATCGATGCCCAAAAATCAGCGGTAGTGAAAGGGATTTAAGTTTTCAGAATGTATGATAATTCACAACTTCACACTTTTACAGTGAACATATCAATCCTCATAAGAAAGTTCCATACACCCCAATTCCTATGACAAAAATGTCCATAGAACAGGGGTGTTTATCTCACCCCCCACCTAAATGGTGGAAGCCAAACCCCATCACATCTGACCTGACTGTGTTCAATTCTCTGGGTCATGGTATTGGTATTTAATTCAAGAGTTCATTAAGAATATTTGTAATATAAAAATTGTTAGAACATTGTTGACTACAATTTTGCTAATAGCTCAATAATTCTTCACATTTTCAGCAAATAAAATGTTAAATCCAGTGTTGGTTAAAAAATTGAATTTTAGTAGGCCTATAATTATTTTTTTAGTTTTATTTCTAAAAATTCAAACATATTTTGGTGCTTGGATGGTTGTGCTGTGAACATTTTCTATTCTAGGCCTTGTGATTTCATCACATTGCCAAAATATTTGTTTATAGAAAAAAATGAGTAATAAAATTTTTTCCTTTCCCGTAATAATCTTTGTGCCTGGAGAAATTCAAAGGGATTTTTATTCCCCCCCCCCCCCCCCTTTATTCAGATAGGAGGCGGCTGCTATCTCCCATCCCTGTGTAGACCCCACATCACAAGACGATTGGGCACACGGAAAATTTCCCACATGGAAAGTTCCCAACATAGATCATTCTGCACATAAATATTTCCCTTCCTTTTAAATTTGTGCGTGTATTTGTATTTTTGCTGCAAGGACATCATTGGTGTAAAACTCAAAGAAAAATGTGTTGGTTGGCCAAACTTCAATGAAATCAAAGAATCTTACCTTTATACATATGTGTGCGCGTGTGTGTGTGCAGAATAATCTATGTGGGGTATTTTATTTTTTTTTAGTCCAATCTTCTTGTGGAGAATATTCATGTAGGGAATTTTTCTGAGGAATTTTTTGTAGGGAAAAAATAATAGCACATAAAAAGGGTTTTTGAAATCAATATTAATTGTATTTATATTAGTATTAAGGGACAGTCAGCATTGGTGGCAGAACAATCACCAACCTACGCTTTGCGGACGACATAGACGGATTGGCTGGCAACGAAGAAGAGCTAGCCAACCTGGTAAAGCGTCTTGATAAGACCTCGTCATCCTACGGCATGCTAATCAGTGCTGAAAAGACAAAACTGATGACAAATAACACCACAGGCATCACCACTGAAATTAAGGTCGGGGATGAAAGACTAGAGACTGTAGGCCGCTTCAAATACCTAAGAGCAATAGTCTCAGAAGAAGGCTCCAAGCCCGAACTGATGCCCAGGATTGCACAGACTACAACAGCACTAAAGAGGCTCAAGAAAATATGGAATGACAAAAATATAGCTCCCAGCACCAAAATCAGGCTGATGCGCTCACTAGTCCTCTCCATTTTCCTGTATTCCTGCGAATCCTCAACATTAACAGCTGATTTTGAAAGGAAAATAAAGGCAATGGAGATGAGATGCATTTTTGGCATCTGCTATAGGGACCATATCTCCAATGATACAGTGAAAGAAAGGGTTCGCCAGGCAATTGGGCAGTACGATGACCTACTGGTGACTGTGAAAAAACGCAATCTACAATAGTACGGCCACGTAACAAGGAAACAAGGGC